ATTTTTTTTTTTTTTTAATTTGACCAGACAGATGGAAAGGGAAAGCGAGAAAGCCAGTTATTAAGTCTGGGACTTGAACCATGGTCAGCCATGTGGGAACCCAGCACCTTTAACTACCACACCACCTGCTGGCCCTGAGCATTCTTTTCTATATGGCACCATATTAGCTTAAAATTTCACAGGGTAGTTTAATGCAGAAAACACCCTGGACTCTTTTTTTCTAATAATATTTTTTTACTTATTATAAAAGAAAAAATGTTTATTATAAAAAATTTGAAAGAAAAGATTACAAAAAGTAGAATTTAAAATGTGTTATTCTATTCCCCAGCGATAACTATAAATAATAAAAATGTTTCCTTTATATACAATACATTTGCATTGGGAAAATATAGTTTTATTTATCATCATTATTATTTTTAATTTGCCACAGGGCATGTATGCTCTCCCAAGAGAGAGAGGGAAAATGATAAAGCAAGCCAGCAGGTCCAGGAGTTGAAACACAGTCAGCCATGTGAGAGTCCAGCACCTTAACCACCACACCACCTGCTAGCTCTGGGAAAATATAGTTTTATACCTACTTTCTGGTCTCTCAGGCTCTATACTTAGGTTCAGAGCCTTGGATTAAGGTCAGTTAGGATCCTGCTCCCTTTCACAGTAGACTATATTAATATTTTGGAATTTTCTCCTAGGTGGATTACATCATGCAGCTGCCCGAATTTCTGGTGACAATGTCTACAAGTATTTGAAGTACGAAGGGGGGATTCATCGAGTTCAGCGGATCCCTGAGGTGGGCTTGTCGTCACGGATGCAGCGTATTCACACAGGAACAATGTCAGTTATTGTCCTTCCTCAACCAGATGAGGTAACCTTACAGGAGGCATTGAACACTTACTCCATGTAAAGGGGTATCATGCTAAGAAGGCTTTGCTTCTAGGACAATCTGTTCTTTTCATGGCTGCATACTTCATCGTCTAGCGGGACGTCTTCAAGGCTTCCTCAGGAAATGTTGCCCTTTTTAATCCCTGACCAAGATATTTTGTTTAGTTTTGTTTTAAATAGAAGTCACTTATTTTCAAAAAGTAGAATCAAGGACCAGCACGTGCCAGCAGGTGACATGGTAGTTGGGGTGCTGGACTCCCACATGGCCAGTTGCAGTTCAAGTCCCAGGTGCGGGTAGCTTGCTTTCTCACTTTCCCTCTCTTTCTTGCTCTTTCTCTAGTGAGTGCCTGTATTAAATTAAAAAAAAAATAATAATGATGATAAATAAAGTTAAATAATTCTTTAAGAAGATAAAAAACCAGAATCATAGAAAGCTTACTAAATGTTTGTATTTACGTTTTAGCTTAAAAAAAAAATAAGGAGCCAATAGATGACATGATGGTTAGGGTGCTGGACTCCCATATGGCTGACCATGGTTTGAGTCCCGAACCTGGCAGCTTGCTTTCTCACTTTCTCTCTCTCTTCTCTGTTTCTGGTGAGCGCACATGCCTTACAGAAAATTAAACAAATTAAATTTTTAAAAAATGAGTTCTACAGATAATATTTCAAGGTCAGTGAGATAATATCTGTATGTGATCTGTGTATTTTTTTAGTTTAATATAAGCATCTTCCCTATATTTTTTCTTTTCCTAGCCTTTCTTTTAAACGTGTAGAAAATTGAAGGACTACCACATAAAAACCACTTCACCTATTGTCAACAGTTGCTTTCATTTTCTCACAGCCCCTTGATTCCTATGTAGATGTATATATTCAGTTTTTAAAATGAACCATGAAGGATGTAGCAGATACTTGAGCCTCAAATCTTTCACATATGTCTCCTAAGAATAAGAACGTTGTCCTTCATAAACGTAATACTATTATCAATGTAGAATCAACTGTAATTATATAATGCTATCTAAGAATTACGGTTTCCCCAGCCAACTCAGAAGTATTTTTATAGCTATTTTCTTTAACCAGGATCCAGTCAAGTTTCACATATTGCAATTTATTGTCACATCTAAGTCTGTAACAGTCTCCCCAAATTTTTTAAAATGACATTGACTTTTTTGAAGAGTCTAGACCGTTTGATAGAATATCCCACTTCTGCATTCATTTGTTTCCTTATGGAATTCTAACTTGTTCCTTTCTCCCCTGTATTATATTGAAAGTTATGTCTAAATATTCTATTCCATTCAGGTTACATGTTTTGAGTGAGACTACTTCATAGGTGCCACAATAGTCTTGTTGCATCATATCAGAAAGCACATAATGCCAGATTGCCCCGCTTTTAGTGCCCCATATCTAGCAATCTTTTAGCAATTTGAGCATTTAGTTAAGATGATGACCACAGAAATACCTCATTGTAAAGTTGTATTTCTCTTTCTGTGATTACTAAGTAACCTCTAGGGTGCTATAGCCTGTCCGGACAACCTTTGCTCTGTGGATTTAACATCTACTGGTGATCCTCACCTGAATCTTTTACTTGGGAGTTGCAAGATGGTGATTTTCTAATTCCATCATTCCCTCTGCGTTCATTAACTGACATTCTTCTGTAAAGAACTCTCCTCCTTATTAACTTCTCTCAATTTTCCCTTCTCCCTTTGTCTTTTATTTGATCTCATTGTAAATTTTTACTAAGTTTAATTTACTGAACTCATAGACTCATAGATATATGTTGTAATTTGTTTTTTTCTGCTAGAGGGCACATGCGCTCACCACAGAGGGACAGAGAGAAGGGGAGAGAAGCACCCTTTATATGGAATGATCATGCCACAATCCCTTCTTCTCCATCTCTCACTTTATTTTGGGATTTGGGCCATGTATATACTTGTACCCAGCATTTTCTCAAGTTACCAGGCCAGGAACTTGAGCCAAGTGGTTGACGATATGGGATCCAGCTGTCTTTGTCACGAGGCCACAGAGTGGCCTTTGAGTTTTGCTTTCTGGTACCATAGGCTATCCTAGGCCCATCCCTTCTTTTTTGTTTTTTTGGAGAGATTTTCACCATAGGGTGCATGCACTCGCCAGACAGACAGAGAGAGACATAGAGACAGAAAGCGAGAAATCACCCCCCAGGGGAAATAGTCACGCCGCAATCCCTTCTCCTCCATTCTCCTCTCAGGATCTTGGGCACGCACGCACATGCACCCCGGTGTGAGTTTTAAGCCACCGGGTCCGGGACACGAACCGTGGTCGACTACGTGGGAGTCCAGCGACATAACCATTACGCTAACTGCTGGTTCCCGGCCCATCCCTTCTTGTACTATCCTGCCTCACACCTGGCATCATCCCAGTTCATTTTAGTGAGAAATGTGCCCAGAAATCAAGATGTGGGTAGTAGGCATGCTCACTACTACCAGAGTGTCCTTACTTCTATACGTAGTGGACAGAGCTAGCAAATGTTTCAGTCACAGTTTCATAGATTATTTCCAGTTCAGATTTAACATAAAATTTTCCCCTCTCAACTTCTATTTTGTATTTATATCCTATCCCACTTAGAATAACAAATCATTTTTCATAGTCACTTTAATTATGTTTACGTCTTTGTTTTATAGTATGTATAAAATAGTTTCAGAATTATAGTACTAACATTTCTAATAGTAAACAACTGAAGAATGTTTACCATTTTTGTCCTTAGACTACCCCTACCAAAAATACATAATTTTATGTATTTTTAGAGCATCGTGTTCAAAGACGGTGTGAAATAAATTTTTCTATGTGGTTATGTTATCATTATATGCATATATAAACATGTATGTACATATGTATGTATATGTACGTGTGTGTATATACACACATACATATAAATAATATATATATTTCCAAAGGTTACTATAACAAATCACCACAAACTTGGTAGCTTTAAATAACAATAATTTTTTAATTATTTTATTTTAATTAATTTATTACTATTATTCTTAAATTTGCTATAGGGCATGTGAACTCAACAGAGAGAGATGGAAAATGAGAAATTTATCAAGCTGCCAGGTCTGGGACTCGAACTATAATCTGCCATGTGGAAGTCGGGCAACTTAACCACCATGCCCTCTGCTAGTCCCTGAACAACAGTAATTTATTCTCTCACAGTTCTAGAGGCCAGAAATATAAAATTAAAGTGTCAGTGTGGCCATGCTCTCTTGAAGGCTCTGGGAGAGAATCTTCCCTTGTGTCTTCCAGAGTCTGGTGTCTCTGGGTATTGACTTGAAACTGTACAGTTTCACTCTGCCTTGGAGTTCACATGGTCTTCTCCCCTCTAGTTGTCTCTTATAAGGACCCTTGACAATGGATTTAGGGTCTATCTGGATAATCTAGGATATAGATTTTAAGTCAGTTACATCTGTAAAGATCCTTTTTCCAAGTAAGGTTCCAGGAGTTAGAAATGAACACATCCCTGGGGGCGGGGACCCACCTTTCAGTTCACTAATAAACTCACACCCACACAAACACACAGCTGATTCTCATTATTTATAGTAGTTCTAGTCCATAAAGTTGTAGCGAAGACCTAGGAGCAATGTTTCAGTGTTTGCTAAATCTATACACACACACAGATCACAACCTTAAATCCTAAAACAGCCCATCCTGGTAGATTCTCTCCTCTTTATTTTATAAAAGAGAAAATGAGACTCCGAAGTGTTAAGTGACACGTCGGAAGCCACCCCACTCACAGGTGCCAGAGCTGGGGGTGAAACCTGGCTCCGGAGCTCCTTGCACTCTATGGCCCAGCCCCCATCCCTGTCCTCTGGTCACCTCTCTATGAGAGATAAAACAAGGCAGAATTTCTTCCGGAACGTGTGCAAGTGTAGAGCAACTCAGATTTTTCATTACTCTATGTGTATCTGCAAGTGACTGTGAAAGTGCCACAGGTATGGATTTTATGGATGCAAATACATTTTAGCAAATAGGTGAATTTGCAAATAGAGACTCCATGAATAATGAAATTCAACTATGCCTGTGTTTGTGTGTGTGTGTATAATGTTATATTTTATGTAGCTGTGAAATTTAACGTAACTACAAGGTGAAACTAGAAAGATTATCTAATTTAGTGATTTCATAGCATTCTAAGTCGGTGTTTAAAAATAGCATCCAAGGTGCTAGCAGGTGGCATGGTGATTAATGAACTAGGTTCCAACATAGCTGACCACAGTTTGAGTCCCGGACCTGGAGGCTTGCTTTCTCATTCCCCTCCCCCCCACCCCTCTCTCTTTCTGGTCAGATTTAAAAAATAGTAATAAATAAGTTAAATTAAATAATTATTTTTTTAAATAATAAGGTTACATCATTGGACTCCCACATACTAGATCTGGCAGCTTAAAACTCATGCCAAGCATATGTGCTTGGGTGCCAGCTCCAATAAATAATTCTTAAAAAATAGCATCCGAGAGCCAGCAGGTGGCATGGTGGTTAAGGCACTGGGCTCCCACATGGCCAGCTGCAGTTCAAGTCCAGACCTGGTGGCTTGCTTTCTCACTTTCCATCTCTCTCTCTCTCTTTCTTTCTGTCTCTGGCGAGTACAAATGCCCTGTAGCAAATTTAAAAAATGATAAATCATTGTGACCAGCAGATGGTTTAATGGTTATGTAGTTGGACTCACACATGACCAACCATGGTTCAAGTACCAGACCTAGAGGCTTGGAACTCATGCTTGGCACCTGCGTGTGCTTTCCCAAGAACCCAAGAGGAGAATGGAAGAGAAGGGTTTGCAGAGTCACCATCCCATCTGGGGGGTAGGGGGTCATGATTTCTTGCTTTCTGTCTCTCTCTGACAAGTGCACACATCCTATAGCAAAAAAACTCTTTAAAAAAAAGATAAATAAAGATAACTAAAATTAAATAACTTTTTTTTTTTTAGCATCCAACTGGAATAGGAAGTTTATGGTTCTTTCTCTGATGAAAATTATTCTCCTTTTAGTCTGTTGTTATGACTTACCTTAACATGAAACAATCTGGTTTGTTTCAAAAAACCTTGGATTAGTGGTAGAGGTTACAGAAAGTCTGGGGCCAACAGATGGCATGGTTGGTTAGGTACTGGGCCCCACATGACCAACTTAGCGGTTCCAAGTCCCAGGCCCAGCAGCTTGAAAAAAACATGCCAGGCACGTGTACATGTCCAAAATCCCAACAGGAAAATGGAGAAGAGATTGTGGTATAACCATCTTCCCAAGAGGTGATTTCTCACTTTCCCCTTTTCTTTGTCTCTCTTTCCCACAAGCACACACACCTTAATGGCAAAAATCTAAAAGCAAACAAATAAACAAACAAAACCCCTTGGAATGCATTTAGTATTAAAGTATTCACGGAGTGTACAAGTTACTTATGCTGTGCCTTTTGTTCTAGGTAGATGTGAAATTGGACCCCAAGGATTTGCGGATAGATACATTCAGAGCTAAAGGAGCAGGAGGACAGCATGTTAACACAACAGATAGTGCTGTCAGGCTTGTCCATATCCCCACAGGTACGCAAGTCCCTCTGCGTTTGCCCTTTTGACCCTTTTTTCGCATCTTATAACGCTCTTGAGCATTTGGAAGGAGATAGTTCTAATGTTATGCCTGGTTCTTTGCACATACCCTGAGGTAGTAGATCTGAGGGCCTTATCGTATTGATCTTCCACTTCTATTTGGAAAGAATATCTCTGTCAGAGGATACAGAGAGTTAACATACTTGTTCAGAGAACCTTCCCAGCTGTGCTTGGCAGGGCTGAGCAACCAGAGGCTTCTCAGCCTATTAAGTACACGTGAAACACAGAAATAGTACTGGACATGTCAATGCTATGGACCTTTGCCACTTCATAGATTGACTGCTGGCTTGATCCAGCCCTGCTGCATCGATGCTGTTTTCTTGATATCAGTAGTTTTGGTATACTATGAGGTCGTTTTGTAGTCCTTAATGTGATGGTAAATATTTCTATCATTTAATTTTTTTTTTTGCTTTTTTATTTCTTTTTATTAAATAAAATTTTTTATGTTATTTTAGACATGCACACACACATTCCTGGGTCCGGGACTCGAACCATAGTCAACTATGTGAGAGTCCAACAATATAACTACTACATCATCTGCTGCTCCCAACATATATGGTTTTAAAAGTTCGGTGGTAGGACCAGCAGATGGCATAAAGGTTATGTTGCTGGACTCCTACTAGTAGACCTACTAGTGGCTTAAAACTCATGCCAAGCACATGTGCATGCATGTCCAAAATCCAGAGAGAAGAATGGAGGAGAAGATATTGCAGCATGGCCATCCCCCCAGGGGGTGATTTCTTGTTTTCTCTCTCGTTCTCTGTCTCTTCTGTGAGCACACGTACCCTATAGCAAAAATCTCTCCTAAAAAAAGTTCAGTGGTTAAGTCCTATAAGTAAAAACAGCATCTCCCTGATTCTCTTCCCCTCCCCCCTTCTACTCCATCCTTCATTGACTAAATTTTCATCTCCTAGCCATAGTCACTTCAAACTCTTATTACAATTACTTCAGTATTTCTAAATAACAGGCAAATAGTGCTCTTTGATTAATTATAGAAATTATATATTTACTTCTTAATGCAGTAGAACAGAATTTTGGCTCTTATATACTGTTTTTCTGTTCTAAATATTTATACTTTGGTCAAATTAATTTTTACTCTTATAATGAATAAGTAAATAGTGTTCACTGAGGAGCCAGATAGAATACTATGATTTCATTTCCTAGATTTAATTATTTCCTCACTGTTACTTCATTTGCTTACTTTTCTTTGATTCTAAACCTTTCTGTGTCTTCCAAAGGCTCCGTAAGAGGAAATTGATTCCTTTTCTACAGGGCCAGGGCTTTCTGGAGATGCCCTCACCAAACACTCCCTCTTCCTGCTCTGTTCTGAGCTAGCTGCTTTCCAGGGCTGTCGCACAGAGCTTGTCCTGGTCGTCTTTGGTTGGGAAATTGCCTTCATCTTTATTCCCTGTTGGATCTTCCTGTTTCATGGATTCCATATCATGTCTCTTAGTTTATTTCTGCATTTTAGTGCTCTTTTTTTTTTTTTTCTAATATGGGAAAAGAAATTTTTTTACTAGGAGAGTGAAGATTTTTTTTCTTAAAGTTCTCACATATTTACTACTGAACCAACCTACCAATGCAGAACTTAAAAGCAAAGTGAAGCCTCATTTTTCCCCCCAAAAAAACATCCCCAAGTGTCCAGGCAGTGGTGACCATTTTCAGCTTGATAAGGCAAGACCATAGTGACGTTGGTACAGCATAAATATGTGGGCCCTCTGCTGTCCAGTTCCTCACAGACCCAACTTGGTTCTTCTCTAGTGTCTCCTCTTGGAGTTTTATTACCAGTTTTCATTTGAATCCACTGGGGAACAAGACAATTTTGCTTCTGTGTTTTGGTCAGAGACCACTTAATTCTGAAAGTCTTGTGAGAAGACGTGGCGAAGAATCAAGTGGACTCCACACGCCATGATGGTGGAGAAAGGAAGAGAAGGACAGAAAGTGAAGATTTTAAAAAAATATTTATTTATTTTTTTATTATTTTTTAATTTGAGGAGAGGAGAGAGATAGAAAGAGAGAGAGAAAGTGAGAGAGCAAGCCACCAGGTTCAAGACTTGAACTGTGGTCAGCCATGTGGGAGTCTAGCACCTTAACCACCACGCCACCTGCTGGTCCCAGAAAGTGAAGATTTTTGACAAGAAAAATACACTCCATGCCAGAAAAGCGTAGTGGTAAAGGTTACAGAAAGCCTGTATGACAAACAGACCCGCAGGTTCCCTCCTTCAGTCTGTAGATGGCAAGAGGCATAGTCTTTGGAGAAATAACTCAGGGACGTTCCATACTTGGACTAGCTACAAAGGAGGGCAGATACATGCAAGGACTAGAAACAAGAGGGTCAAGTAAAAGGCTACTTATTGAACAGTGATAGCTTGACCTTATCTCAGGTGTATCTAGGAAGATGCTTCTCAGGAAAAAGCAAACTAACCAAGAGAAAAGACCCATGAACACTAGCATTTGGGGGTCCCTAATGAAAAAAGCTAGTTTAATTGTCTGTGAGACTTTTTAATGGATGCGTGGATAAGTGCACTTGGAACACTTGGATCCTCCTGTTTTGTGAATTCCATATCATGTCTCTTAGTTTGTCTTCATTTTAGTGAAGCTCTCTTTTGGATCCTCTTTGGAGGGCTCAACACAGAAGAAAGATAAAGGCAATTTCCCAACCTGAAAAAAACGGGCTACTTGCATACAGGCAGCTGTAAGTGGAGAACAACTGCTGTGAAGTGGCTTCTTGAGAAAAGATTCATGAGATATAAATATCTTCAGACTTCGTACACCTCACAGATATTACACTTTATTGATCGTTCATTAATTGGAAGTCATTTTCACTTGGAACATTGAAGGCTTTTTCCCTAAAGAGTTATTATTTTATTTAACTTTATTTATTTATTTTTAAAATTTCTACCAGAGAGGGACAGAGCAAGAGAGAAAGAGAGGGAAAGTGAGAAATGAAGCTGCCAAGTCCAGGACTCAAACCATATTTGGCCATGTGGGAGCCCAGCACCCTTAAATACCATGCCACTTGCTGGCCCCTGAAGGATTTTTTCATTCATGCCTTTCTGTTCTGAAATCTCTCCTTCAGTAATTTCTTAGGTGATATTTTCTTTGTTGGGCTTGGAATTTCTGTTAGGAGTTAGACTTCTTGGATTTATTATTTAATTTCTTCCTTTTTTTCCTCCTGTTGTCTATCAGTTTGTGTTTTAGTTCTTTTTCCAACCCTTTTACTGATTTTTAAAATTTTTATTATTTTTTTTTATTTTCAAGAGCTTTTTCTTTTCCCCAGAATTGTTCTTTTCACTTAGTATCTTTTCCTTATTTTGTTAGTACATATTTGTTAGGTTATTGCTTGAGGATATTAATTTTATATTTTGTAAAGTTTTCTTCTACTTCCTGCAGTGTCTTCGTTTTTTCAGTTTTATTTGTTCAGTCTTTCTTTTCTTTTTTTTTTTTTTTAAGAGTTTTTTGCTATAGGGCACGTGTGCTCACCAGAAAGACAGAGAGACAGAAAGCGAGAAATCACCTCCTGGGGGGATGGCCATGCCACAATCACTTCTCCTCCATTCTCCTCTCGGTATCTTGGGCATGCATGCGCATGTACCCGGCATGAGTTTAAGCCACCGGGTCCGGGACTTGAACCGCTGTCAGCTACTTGAGAGTCCAACGACAGCCATTATGCCAACTGCTGGTCCCTGTTTGTTCAGTCTTACTTTAATGTTGGAAACCTGTAGGAATCTTGGGCTGGCCATACATTTTTAAAAATAAGTTTGTTTATTCTATGAGTAAGAGAGAAGCAAAGATACAGCATTCTCAACAGGATCTTGATGCCATGACCCACCCTCAGCCACAGCCAGTCTGGATCGTGGACCACATGTGCCTAGCATATTTGAGAGGTCTCTGAACCGGTAACCCTTTCATGTGGGTCAGGCTCATTATGTCGCATTTTACCACCATTGTCCAGCCCCTGTCTATACATATTTAAGAATCAGGCTTTTGTTTTGTTTTGTTTTGTTTCTTAAGAGAGATTTTTGTTATAGGGGCGTGCACTTGCCAGAAAGACAGAGACAGAGAGACATAAAGCAAGAAATCACCCCCAGGGGTGGATGGCCACACTACAATCAGTCCTCCATTCTCCTCTTGGGATCTTGGGCACGCACACACACATGCCCAATGTGAGTTTAAGCCACCGGGTCCGGGACTCGAACCACAGTCGACGACATTGGAGTCCAGCGACATAGTCATTATGCCATCTGCTGGTCCAAAGGATCAGATTTTAAGAGATCCAAGTGCATTTAACCATGTGTACTTCACAGACTATTAAATTAGCTTTTTTTATTAGAGATCCCCAAATGTTAATGTTTATAGATCTTTCTCTTTTTCCTGCGAAGCATCTTCCTGGATATACTCGAAACTAAGGTCAAGGTTCACTGTTCAATAAGCAGCCTTTTGCTTAACCCTCTTGTTTCTAGTCTTTGCCTTTATCTGCCCTCCTTTGTGGATAGTCCAAGTCTGGAATGTCACTGATCTATTTCTCCAAAAACTATGCCTCCTGCCACCTACAGATTGAGGGAGGGGACCTGAGGCTCTCTTTGGCATACAGGCTTTCTGTTTTTAGCCTCTGACTTCTGAAATACCTGGTACTTTAAACTCCTGAGCCTTTCTGGCCTCATCAAGACAAGTTGACTGGTTTCTGGGTAGCATTTCCCTGTACAGGGAATTAGGTTCCCCCTTCCTTTCCTCTGCTAACTCATCTACCATTCTAGGCACATATGCATGCGCCTGGTGTGCTTTTAAGATGATCTTTATAAAAGCCTAGTAAATCTTCCAAAATTCAATTAAAACAATGCTGATAAAATTTACTTTTAAAGCCCTTTTACTGTTCTTTTTTTAAATTTTAGAATTATTTATTTTATCTTATTTATTTATTATTATCATTTCTTAATTTGACGAGAGAGAAAGCAAGCTGCTAGGTCCAGGACTTGAACTGTGGTTGACCATGTGAGAGTCCAATGCCTTAATCACCATGCCACCTGCCAGCCCCCTTTTTATAGTCCTTGAACAACCCTAACACTTTTTTATTTTAACAGCTTTTTTTAAAATTAACTCAGTATATGCTCTTTCCTCCCCAAATCCTCTATTCTCGAGGGAGTACTTATTATTAAGTACTCGTCCATAGAAAGTGTAAAGTATATTATCAGGTGATTCTTTTAGGAATCACTGAAATGGTAAGAAAGAATTATTATTATTTTTGGAGAGGTTTTTGCTATAGAGCGCGTGCGCTTGCCAGAAAGGCAGAGAGAGACAGAGACAGAAAGTGAGAAATCACCCCCAGGGGGATGGCCACGCTGCAGTCCCTTCTCCTCCATTCTCCTCTTGGGATCTTGGGCACGCACACACATGCACCCGGTGTGAATTTAAGCCACCGGGTCCAGAACTTGAACTGCAGTCGATTACATAGGAGTCCAGAGACACAGCCATAACGCTAACTGCTGGTCCCAGTAAGGAAGAATTTTAAGCTAAAAGTTCTAGCCTGAGCCAGTAGAAAGGAACAGTGTAGATTTTAGGCAGAAATCAGTATGGGTCAGCAGACAACAAGAAAAATGTACTGGAAAGTCTGGCCGTCTTGAAAGAATTTTCATATTCTTTTGGGTGGTAAAGGAAGCTCCAGGCTCTCCTGAATAGAGGTGAGCGGGTGGCCTCAGCATAACCACCTTACTACAGCAAAGCAGTCAGAAAATGAACTTATACTGAGAGAGGTAAAACCCAGGTGCCCTTCTGAAAGTATTAGCAGGTATAGGCTGCTATTTATAAGAGAAAACATAGTTTGGAGAGTAGAATTTTATAGAAATTTTTCAAATATTCAGCAAAATATTTTCTACCATATTGGTGTAGCCAGCCTAAGTTAATAGAGGATTTTTGTTTTGTTTTTTGGTTTTGGTTTTTGTGATTCAGAAAAAAAAAAACCCTGTTCTCCTCCTAATATACCTAGGAGCAGTAGTGGACACAGGCCTTCAGAGTGGTAGCTGCAAAGATAAGAACAGCACCACCTGAAGTCCCAAGGACCAGCATTTCAAGGCTAGGTTTGGGCTAAGAACTCGGGTACAAGTGGGTCAAACCTACCCAGATAGAGAAGATGGCCAGCCAGAACATGTGCAGTTAGGTGGGATTAGCTGGATTTTAAAACATCAGCTCTGGGTGCACTTGCGACTGAAAGGGAAACAGCTGAGTTCTCCTTGAGTAGGACAAAGAATGGGGCAATGGTGCTTAGGGGTGGCAGTAGTTTGTGCTTTAGTGAGCCGTGGAGTGTCTGGACAAGCTCAGAGGGAAAAGTAGAATTCAGGGGAAAAAAGTACATGCAGTTGTTGCTTTCAGATGAGGTATCAGAATCTAAACAGCCACTTACTGCTTTTCTAATTGTAACCCAGGTTCAGTTTCTGAAGTACACTAAACCTAAAGTGTTTTTACCGTTTGTAATCTGTTCCTGATCAATTTCTCCATTCAAATGTTCCTCAGTTCTATCTTAATCTGTCTCGTGGAGGCTACAGTCTGTGGCTGATCCCTGTTCTTTTTCAGGGCTGGTAGTAGAATGCCAACAAGAACGATCACAGATAAAAAATAAAGAAATAGCTTTGCGTGTGTTGAGAGCTAAACTCTACCAGCAGATTATTGAGAAAGATAAATGTCAACAACAGAGTGCTAGAAAACTGCAGGTAAGATTTATTTAGTGTCATAATTTAATAATTATATAGAAAGATATTCTATGTAGAAGATACAGTGGTTTGTTCTTGTTCAAGTGAAAATATCTTAGAGCACAGGAAACTATAATCATTTGTAAATACAAGGGACCTTTGAAAAGTAAATGGAAAATACATGTTATAAAAACAAACAATGTGTGGATTTGGGGGAACAAGCAGATGGCCTAATGGTTGCATTGCTGGACTCTCACATAGTTGATCATGGTTTGAGTCCTGGACCTGGTGGCTTAAAAATCATGCCAGTCACATGTGCATGCATGCCCAAAATCGCAAGAAGATAATGGAGAAGAGGTTGTGGCATGGCCTTGTGGGGGTGGGGAGGGTGATTTCTCACTTTTCTGTCTCTCTGGTGTGTGCACACACCCTATAGCAAAAATATCTTTAAAAAAATAAATGCTATGTGTGTATTTCAATTTTTTTTTTGCACCAATTCAGTTTTTCTACAAACATTTTGAAGTCCTCTCATAAGCATTAACTATGTAGACTAATGAACTATACCTGACCATATCAGCTTACAAATGTGTAGGTAAAATATATATGAACTAAAGAGTATATTCTGATAATTTTCCTCCAGTGTTTTTATCATAACTTCGTTAAGTGGAAATTGGTTTGAAAGGTAAAATCATTCTTTCGAAATTAAGAAGCTTTCAGGTTTTTTATTTAAAATGTATATTTTTATCTTAATTCCATGTAGGATCAAATATGAAGGGCACTGCAAAAACTTTCTACTGATGGACTCTAGAAACAGGGTAGGAGATAGATTTAGTTTTTAGTATATGCCTTTGGTACTTTTTTATTTATGTGTAGAGCGCACATGTGTAGTGTTATTTATGAAGTATGAAAACAGGGCTAGCCAGTGGCATGGTGGTTAAGGCAACTGGGTCCCATAAGACTGATTATATGGTTCGCGTCCTGAATCCAACAGCTTGAAAAACACACCAGTCTTAGGAACCAGCAGTTGGCGTGATGGCTGTGTCGCTGGACTCCCTAGTCTACCGTGGTTGGGGTCAGGGACCCGGTGGCTTAAAACTCACGCCGGGCACATGTGCTTGCATGCCCAAGATCCTGAGAGGAGAATGGAGGAGAAGGGATTGCGGCGTGACCATCCCCCCTGGGGGGTGATTTCTCACTTTGTCTCTATGTCTCTCTCTGTCTGTCTGGCGAACGCACGCACCCTATAGCGAAAAAAACCTCTCCAAATAAAGAAAAAAAGAAAAAAGAAAAACACACCAGTCTGTGTGCATGTGCGCTCGTAATCCCGAGAGGAGAAACAGAGGAGTAGGGATTATGGTGTGACTTTCCCCTCTGGAGGGTGCTTTTTCGGTTTCCCACTCTCTCTCTGCCTTTCTATGAACACACGTCCTCTAGCAAATGTTTTTTTTTAAAATATATAAATAGATAAATTCTAAGAAAAATGAATAAATGTCATTGCTTTAACTAAACAACATTTTGTATGATTTAAGATATTGAAAATGGGGGCCAGCAGGTGGTGTGGTGGTCGAAAGCACGGGACTCAAACATGCACATGCAGCTGGTGTGAGTTTTAAGCCACTAGTTCCAGGACTCAAACTGTGGTCGACTACACGGGAGTCCAGCAATGTAACCATTACGCCATATGCTGTTCCCATCTTTTTTTAATCTTAAGAAGTGAAAGTGTTGGGGAGAAAGTGCTGTATCGTAAGCTGAGGAGGGTAGGGAGATGAGACTAAGAAGAATACAAGTAAGTGTGGCATGAGACCGATGGTGGTGTGCCATGAAGAAATGTCAAGTGCAAGGGATTTCAAAGAAGGAAGACAACATATATTAATTGTTCAGACCAGAACGGCAAAGATGGTAGGAGTGTTAGGGAAGGGCATCTTCAACTTGTTTTAGCAGCAAAAACAGACACATACATGATAACGATACGGTTTTATAAGTGGCATTACAGAGGGTGATTCATTTTCAGAAATAATGTTGGAAGCTTGGTCACATTATAAAATACCTTGTATGTTGAGTTGACTTGTGTCTGCTTAGTAGACAGGAAGGAACCAAAAAGACAATTTATCTGAAAACTGTGCTTTAGGAAAACTAAGCAGGGCAGGAAAGTGGAAGCCTGATCAGGAGATTTTGGCATGAGTATAGGTAAGTGTAATGAGTCCTTGAATGGTAATAGAAATGGAAAGGGCAGAATAAATTGGAGGCCCTTGAAACCAACTGGAAATGCATCTATCGAGTCGTTGGAAAGGTCATTATGCATTTTTTGCATAGAAAACACGTCATGCTTTCTGATGACCCAGTTATGTCAAAGCCTGCACAGTAAGCACCTGTAACAATTTTGTTAAATTGCAGAATGTCTGAGTTTCCTACTTGGATAGATGGGAACACACAGTAATGTCATCTATAGAAACCTGGAGGAAAAATTGATCAGGGTAAAAGATGATTAATTTGGTTTTAAATATTTAGTTTTAAGTATCAAAGAAACATTCATTCCTTAACCAACCTCTACATTAAACATTAAGTTGAGTCTTAAACATTAAGTTTTGCCTATTCTTATTCCTGTAACTTTGTGTATATGACCTTTAGAAATTACGTAAACTGTTAAAATAGAAAAGTCATTTGCAAGTATTTTATCCATTGCAATGAAGGTAATTGTGATTATGCAGTCTGAATTGCTTTCTCTTATGGCACAGGTGGGAACCAGAGCCCAGTCAGAGAGAATTCGGACATATAATTTCACCCAGGATAGAGTCACTGACCACAGAATAGCATGTGAAGTTCGTGATATTAAGGTAATAGTATTGAGTTTGCTTTTTGTGTTTTTGATTTTCAAAGAAAGTATAGTCAAATTCTAGAGAATTATGTCAAAATTATTACCATGTAATTTAAAATAATTAAGGCAGTTTATGTTAGTACCCTAAAATTTGCAAACATTTTATTATGATAAAATGGCATGATCATTATGCCATTTTGAAACAGTTACCTTTTGTGTTTTTAAAATTATTTTATAATTTATTTATTATTATTATTATTATTTGATTATTATTATTATTATTATTTGATTAGAGAGAGAGAGAAAGAGAGCCCTCAGGTCTGGGACCCAAACCACAGTTAGCCATGTGGAAGTCCAGCGCCTTAACTACTATACTATCTACTAGCCCCAACAGTTGCCTTTTTAAATTCCAAATTTTTTTGTTATGAAATCACAATGTCTTAATATATATTCAGTATACATATGAGGAAAATTCAAAGTTCGTAGAAAAATGGAATTAAATTTGAAATTTTTTTGGTAGGTTTTTATTCAGGGTACGTGCAGTCACCAGAGAGACATAGAGAGACAGAAAGTGGGAAATCACCCCTCAGGGGTGATGGCCATGCTGCCATCCCTTCTCCTCCATTTTGTTTCTTAGGATTTTGGGTACACAAGCACACATGTCTGGTGTGAGTTTAAGCCACCAGATCTGGGACTTGAACTACGGTCAACCATGTGAGAGTCCAGCAACGTAACCATTATGCCATCTGCTGGTTCCAGTATGAGTTCATTTTGGTGCAAACAAAAATATTGAAAGTGATGCAATATTTTTTTATAATATGCATTTTCCATAAACTTTTTGAAGTCTCCTCATACATAAAATGTATACTATGAGAAAACTATGCACCAAAATAAACTCATACATTAATGTTGTTTTCCATGAACTTTTTGAAGTCTCCTCATGCATGTGTATTTGTTTTCTGTTGCTCAGTAACAAACTACTACAAACTTAGAAGCTTATGAAATGATACCCATTTATTATCTCATGATTTCTATAGGTCAGAAATCTAGGCACAACTGAACTTAGTTCTCTGCTTAGCATCTTTTTTTTTTTGGAAAGGTTTTTGCTGTAGGGCGCGTGTGCTCACCAAAAAGACAAAGAGACAGAAAGCAAGAAATCACCCCCCAGGGGGGATGGCCATGCCACAATCCCTTCTCCTCTATTCTCCTCTCTGGATCTTGGGCACGCACACACACGTTCCCAGAGTGAGTTTAAGCCACCAGGTCCAAGACTCAAACCATGGCTGGCTACATAGAAGTCCAGTGACATAATCATTAGGCCAATTTCTGGTCCTTCTGCTCAGCATCTTACAAGGCTGAAATCGGGGCATCAACCAGACTGCAGACTTTTCTGGAGTTTGGAGTCCTCATCCAAACTCCTGTGGTCATCAGCGAAATTCATTGCCTTGAGTTGTAGGACAGATGCTTCCGCTCTTTTATTTGCAGTCAGCTAAATACTGCCAGAAGTGACTTCCCTGTGACTCTCACCAGAGCCCTTTCCCACTTTGATATCTGCTTGTAGGAATGCTCAAGCCCTTGTAAGGGCTCACCTGAGCAGGTCAAATTGACTGGGATATCGTTCTTTTCAGTTAACTCAGATCAGCTGATCAGTCACCAGATCACTGGAGGGATAGTCCATTATACTATATTCACAGGTTTTTGTCTACACTTAAAGAAGGAAATTATACCAGGTGTGTACACCAGGAGGGCATTGGAGAATTCTTACTATGATCTCTATTCATTAGATTCAGGTATTATAAATATGCTTTTTGGGGAAAAGACCATGTCAAGATTGTTAGAATATTAACCTACGCAAATCCTGTCATTAATACGTAATTGATGAAGAACAGAAAAACTTGCCTTTTGCTACCACTAAAGGGAGAATTAAACTGGTTCTCATAAAGAACATGGAAAAGGCAAGTGACAGAAAGTTTTGATCCTTTTCCTTGGTGCCATGTGATACCTAAGGCATCTTTCACTTGATTCTGTACCACTCTACATTCAAAATGAAAGTCCTAATTTTACAAGCGAAATGTCTGTGTTATAAATTTCTGTGCATCTTATACCACCTCCTCTGTCTTCTCAGCACTATAAAGCTATCTTGCATAGGAACATAGTAGGCATTTCAAAAAGAAAATATTTCCTAATTTCCCTTTCAGGAAACACAATATTAACCAACATGTTTGGCCATATTTTTCTAATTACAACATATTCCTTCACTTGTTTCCCCACCCCCCACCCCCCAGTGTGATGATTTGCCCTGGGACGGCTATAATCTCCTGTCAGTTGTATCTTTTAGTTGGGTATGTAGGTATGGTCATGAAATAGAGGCAAGGTGACTGGCTTTTAGAGTTACAAACTATCTGACTTTGACCTAAATACTAATATGTTATTGCTAACCAAACTAGCATGCCTGATTCAGAAATAAAGATAATTACATTAGTGTGCTATGATCATCACTAACCAACTTGTTGGAAAGAAAGCATTCCCTATTAGTGAAAGGAAAAAGTGTAATTGTCATGAAATATTAAAATATGAATGAAAGACAGTAATGAGACTAGGGGGAGTGAATAATTTAGGAACCGAAACATTATAGGGGATGCTGGGAAAGAGGGAGGAACCTTAACCCGGGGCAACAGCTGGTGGGCAGAATAGAAGGGTGGACAGGAGAGAGAGTGAGCATCTGTGCGACGTTTTGCACAGCTCTCCTCCCTTATTCCAGAACTTGCCCTTCTTCCTTCTCCATCCATGTCGTTCCTACTGGAGCTCTTTTCTTACATGATTGTGATCCTGACCCAAGACAATAATTGATTAGTGTGGAGTGGACAGTTAAACCAGTCCCAGTCGATGACTTCTTTCCAGGATTTTTTTTCTTTTAATTATTTTAACTTTATTTATTTATTTTAATTTTGGCCAGAGAGGAAACAGAGCGAGAGAGACAGAAAGAGGGAATGTGAGAAAGCAAACCACCAGGTCCAGGACTTGAACCATGGTCGGCCATGTGGGAGTCTAGCACCCTTAGCCACCACTCCACTTGCCAGCCCCTCCAGGATTTTTCAATTGTAGATGAAGAGGGTCATTCTTCCCTCTGGCTGACTGAAGTTGAAACGTATAAAGCTTATGAGGTTAGAAGCCACATTTTCAGCCACAAGTGAAAGCAGTTCTCAGTGAAAAAAATGAAGCTCATATGTGAAAAAAAGCAAAAATTAGAAAAATCAGGGGCCAGCAGATGGCATAGTGGTTATGTCACTGGACTTCCACATGATCAACCACAGTTCAGGTCCTGGACCTGGACCTGGTGACTTGAAACTCATGTCAGGTGTGTGTGTGTGCCCAAGATCCAAGGAGGAGAATGGAGGAGAAGGGATTGTGGCATGGCCATCCCCCCAGAGGGGTGATTTCTCACTTTTCCCTCCTACTATCTCTCTCTCTCTTCAGCTAATGCAGGCACCTTAAGGCAAAAACCTCTTAAAAAAGAAAAATCAGAAGTAGATAGAAAGAATTCTGATTACTTGAATTCCCACATTCATTTATTCCTCTGGCTCAATCTCTTCCTCAGGGTGGAAGTGGCAGCTCGGTAAGTCCCTATCCGTGGGTTCTGAGAGATCATCTAATATTTTTATTATGATTTCTCCTGTAGATAATTTTATTTTTAAATGCTATTATCTAGATAATAAGCACAGTTTACTATATGCTATATTGTTTCACATTTTTATTCCAGGTCTGAGTTCTTATACAAATTTTTTAGCATTAGCCTTATTTCCTCCTGCTCTATATTCCAGTTACACTGAAAATTTCCCCTTGTCTTGGGACTTACATGTGCTTTCTTTCCCTGCCTTTCTTTTTATTTTAGTTTTTTTCCATTGAGTGTGTGCACTTGCAAGAGAGAGGCAGGTGGTGAAGGGGGGTGCAGTAAGACATTACTCTGGAAGGGAGATGGCCATACTGCAATCCCTTCTCCTCCATTCTGTCGGGATTCTAAGCATGCATGTACACACAACTGGCATGTTTTTTCAAGCCACCAGGTTGGGACACAAATCACACTGTTGGCCATGTGAGATCTAGCTGACCCTCTTAGCCTTGCTTAATACTCATTCTTTTGACTTTCAGTTCTCTGTTTAACTCTATTTGGGGAAATAGTATTCTCCTTTAAGGTCTAATTCAATTTTTTTTTAATCTTTTTATTATTACTATTATTATTCTTAATTGCCAGAAGGCATATATGCTTGCCCAAGAGACACACACGTGGAGAAAAAGCATCACCACCACCACCACCACCACCACCCGTGGGGCATGGTCACACCATAGTCCCTTCTCCTCCATCTCTCCATCCTGTCAGAATTTTCAGCATACATCACACACGCCAAGTGTGTTTTCTCAGGACACCAGCGCTGGTATTTTAACTGCGGTTGGTCATGTGGGATTCAGCTCCCTTAACTATGGGGCTACAGGGCTGGGCTCTCCTGAATCTTTCCCTGATGCTGCCTTCCTATCAAAACCAGTGGCTTCTCACACCCTTGCTTTCTTCTCCTTTATTTTTAAATTTATTGTATTGATTTCAGATGCTTGTTTAGCTATTTCTCTACACTGTCAGCTTCTGAAAGTTAGAACTACGGCTCGTACACCTTTGATCTTTGTATTGCTAGCGCTGTGGCTAATCCACTTGAACTCTTGAGTGTATTGAGAATATCCTGTAGAGTAATAATCTTCTTTACATTCATTCCAAAGATGAAGTCACTGTGGCATACCATAATACTTTGCATTCCAGGTACTCGGATTTTATAAACAATTTCTTATTCTCAAGATGGTATAATTTTAGGGACCGCAGTTAGCGTAATGGCTATGTTGCTGGACTCCCATGTAGTTGACCACGGTTTGAGTCCCGGACCCGGTAGCTTAAAACTCACGCCGGGCGTGTGTGCCTAAGATCCCAAGAGGAGAATAGAGGAGAAGGGATTGTGGCGTGGCCATCCCCCCGGGGGGTGGATTTCTCGCTTTCTGTCTCTCTGTCTCTGTTTGGCGAGCTATAGCAAAAACTTCTCCAAAAATAAAAAGATGGTATAATTTTTAATTTTAAAATTATATCATACTTATTTTGCTTTCTGTTTAACTTTAGAGTTTAAGATTTTACTATATGCTGGTACTTGGGAGAATACAGAGATATTAAAACATATTTTTTCTCTTACATTTTAATTCCAGAGATGGATGTGTATACGTACCTAAAGTTTGGTAGTAAGACCATTCAAAAAGACTAAACATGAAATTAATTTATACCTACATCAGAACTTTAAATGTTCTGTGTTCTAGATACCAACATTAAATTAAAGTAGTTCTGGCCTCCCTGTGACCTGTGATAGGACACTCTGGTTGATGCTGCTACTCAGCAGGTCAAGGCCACATGAAAAGCCCAGGTTCAATTCTCTTCCCCATTAAAGCCAGGCACAATGGTGTGCATCTCCAATCCCAGCTACTTAGAAGGCTGAGGAAGGAGGATCAGGACCAGCTTGGAAACATAGCAAGAACCTTCTGAAACAGCTGTGTGTGGTGGCACGCACCTGTCATCCCTGCCACTTGGGAAGCTGAGACTGCAATGTAGCATACCTTGTCTACAAAAAAAGTATTCCTGTGAAGTCAATGTCTAAAGTTTGAGCATTCCTAAAATACGAGAATGTACAAATTCACTGATTACAACAACTTTAGTACACAGGATTTCTTTTGCACAGGAAAAGTACTTAAATTAATTATTTTATTCATTTTTTTTTTCTTTAGGAAAAAACTGTAGGGATGGGACCGCAGATGGTGTAATGGTTATGTCACTGGACTCCCACATGGCTGACCATGATTCAAGTCCCAACATGGCAGCTTGAAATTCACGCTGAGTATGTGAGTGTGTGTGTGTGTGTGTGTGTGTGTGTGTCCAAGATCCCGAGAGGAGAACGGAGGAGAAGGGATTACAGCGTGGCCATCCCCCTTGGGGTGATTTCTCACTATCTCTCTCTCCATCTCTGGTGAGCATACCTGCCTTATAGCAAAAATCTCTCTTAAAAAAAAAAAAAAAAGAAAAAGAAAAAAACTGTTGGGAAGGTAGGGAATACTATAGGAACAACTAACTGAAACAGTTTTCATCCAGTGGAATTATTTAAAGAAAAATTGAGCGCTTTTTTTGTTTTTGTTTTTGTTTTTTTCCTGAACCTTTGTTCACCCCGTGGGGGTATAGCTATGCCACTATCCCCTCATTTCCATTCTCTTCTCAGGATTTTGGGCACACATAAACATATACGTCCAGCACAGTTTTCTTTTTCTTTTCTTTTTTTTTTTTTGGAGAGTTTTTTTTCACTATAGGGCGCATGCGCTCGCCAGACAGACAGAGACATAGAGACAGAAAGCGAGAAATCACCCCCCAGGGGGGATGGTCACACCGCAATCCCTTCTCCTCCATTGTCCTCTTGGGATCTTGGGCACGCACACACACACGCCTGGCGTGAGTATTAAGCCACCGGGTCCGGGACGCGAACCGTGGTCGACTACGTGGGAGTCCAGCGACATAGCCATTACGCTAACTGCTGGTTCCCTGTCCAGCACAGTTTTCAAACTACTGAGTCTGGCACTCAAACCACGAAACTGGCCATGTGGGATCCATCCACCTGAACCTCCATACCATCTTCTGGCCCCTAAACTTTTTATTTAAAAAATGTTCAAGTGTACGTAATGTTTAAAGTCAGTGAATGTTATAGAGCCTATGCCTATATTCACCGCTTGTTAACATTTTGCTATATTTGCCTTCTTTTTCTCTCTACCTCATTTTTTAGACACCTGTGTTAATATCGAACCATTTGAAAGCAAGTTGCCAACCTCAAGACATTTCACCTCTAAATATTTCAACAAAAATATTTTTTAATTACATAAGATTTCTACATCTTAAAACCACTGTGTTTCCAATATGAGGGGGGAAAAAACTCATAAACCACTTACCAATTAAGTAATCTAAAGTTGAAGAGTTGACTTGAGAAGGGTGAACTGGACTTGTCTGGAAAGGTTTTCTGTGAACCTGAGCCAAAGGCTTTGGCCAAAAGTAATATGCACATTTATGTGGCAACAAAATGACTACAGGATTGAGGCATTTCAGTCTTTCTTGCCTTTGGGAAGTAACATATGAGTGAAATGGGTAGAACTTTCAGGACAAGAATAAGCCATACTTTTATGTACTCTTATGGTAAAAGAAGATAAGAGGATTCAGCAAATATGTCCTCCCAAAAACAGTTTGAAAACCTAGAAATATATTATCATAAAAGTCGGGACCAGCAGTTAGTGTAATGGCTATGTCGCTGGACTCCCATGTAGTCGACCACGGTTTGAGTCCTGGACCCGGTGGCTTAAACTCATGCCAGGCGTATGTGCATGCGTGCCCAAGATCCTGAGAGGAGAATGGAGGAGAAGGGATTGCAGCATGGCTATCCCTCCTAGGGGGTGATTTCTTGCTTCCTATCTCTCTGTCTCTCTCTGTCTTTCTGGCGAGCACATGCACCCTATAGGAAAAAACCTCTACAAATAAAAAAACGAAGCAGATGAATTTTAAAGAGAAGAAGGTGGTCAATTTCAAGTCTGTTCAGATCACTTTGTTTTGCTGACTCCAGAGTTATTGGAAATGTCCAAATCCCAGAAGACTGATCTTAAAACAAAATGTTAATTTAAACAATTTATGAAAGAATATACTTCCACTTGTTCTTTATTTTATTCTTTCTTTTCCACTTGTTCTTTGGATTCATTTTTTTACGTAAAACAAAAACACTGTAAGTGGAATCCTCCTAAGTTAGTGATTGTACTTACTATATTCTAAAACATTAATAATTCCTTGTTGCTATAAAATAATGGCCATAAATAGTGAAATAAGCATACACTTAACTTTTTCTTCATTTATAATAATCAGATTCTTAATAACTTACTCTTTCACCAGGAATTTTTATGTGGTGAGAAGTGTCTGGATCAGCTAATTCAGAGACTACTTCAATCAGCAGATGAAGAAGCCATTATTGAACTTTTGGATAAAAACCTTAAGTCAGCAAAATAAATGGCCATTTATTATTTACCAATATATAAATAAAATGGACCTGTATCAAAAAGCAGCCTGGGCCCAAAAGATGACACAGTGGTAAGGTGTGACATCGTGAAGCTGACCCACATGGGAAGACTTCTGGTCCTGTCCGGAGAGCTCCATGAGTGTGCCAGACACATACATGCCCATGATCAGGTGTGGCTGAGGCTGGGGATGGATCACAGCATCAGGACCCTTTTGGGGGTGCTGTCTCTGTCTCTCTCACTCATGGAAGTAATAAATAAATAAACTTTTTAAAAAGCAGACTAAGGGACCAGCAGTTAGCGTAATGGCTATGTCACTGGATTCCCATGTAGTCAACCATGGTTCACTTCCTAGACCCGGTGGCTTAAACTCACGCCGGGCACATATGTGTGTGTGCCCAAGATCCCAGCAGGAAAATGGAGGAGAAGGAATTGTAGCATGGCCATCCCCCCTGGGGGGTGATTTCTCTCTTTCTCTCTGTCTCTGTCTAGCAAGCACACATGCCCTATAGCAAAAACCTCTAAAAAAACAAAACAAAACAAAAGCAGACTAAGAGCTAGTCAGTGGCATGGTGGTCAAGGTGGTTAGATTCCATGTGGCTGACTGTGTGGTTTGAGTGTGGACCAGTGACAGGTATATGTGTGAGTGCCCAAAATCCCCAAAGGAAAGAGAAATGGAGGAGATGGGATTGTGGCATGACCATTCCCTATTGGGGACTGGGGGACAGGGGGTGCTTTCTCACATTCTCTCTTGCTCTGATGAGTGCGTGTGCCCTCTGGCAAACTTAAACAAAAACAAAAGCAAAAAAACAACTGAAGCGTGGAAATCTTCATGAATAGCATAACGTAGAGCCGTAAGTACACAGTACTGACATATCTATCTGTCTATCTAGATATATATAATTTTTTTTAAGACTTTTGCTATAGGGTACTTGCACTTGCTGGAGAGAGAGAGAGAGTGAGAAATCACCCCCTCCCCCAGGGGAATAGCTACACTGCAATTCTTTCTCCCCCATTTTGCCTCTTGGAATTCTGGGCATGCACATATACACATTTCAGGCTGCCAGGTCCAATACTCAAACTATGAAGTCAGCTACATGGGATCTAGCACCTTCACCACCCTGCCACCTGCTGGCCAACAAATATATTTTTTAATGAATCAAAGTTGCATTTCTTGACCTGGGGGTTTAAGATTCTTGTAAAGCATAATCTAACTCTTCAAGTAGAGAATAGGATGCATCAATAAAAAGAGAAAAGTGTCAGCTGGTGACTTGGGTAATTCTGGACACAAAAGAGGGAAACCCTGGGTTTGTGTCCCAGGGTCTCTATATGTGCTGGGCTTGTACTTGTGTGCCTGTGATCTAGGCTGGCAGAGGCTGGGTATGGATCGTGGCATGAGAACCCTGTTGCATTCTCTGTCTCTGTCTCTATCTTGCTCATAGAAAGAATGAATAAATAAATAAATAAATAAATAAAGAGAGAGAGAGAGAAAAAAATAAAGTATTGAGTATTGATTTTGTGCTGACCAGCCCTGGAGCACAGCAGTTAAGCACTGTGCAGAGGAAGCTGGAGCCCATATGACTCACTGTGTCTAATCCTGAAAAATATACTGTGCACAGGCAGGCCTGCCCAGAATTCTGATGAGATGGAGGAAGAAAGTATTGAAGTTTTACCAGCTCCAGGAGGGGGGGATGCCTTTCTATCTCCCTCTCTGTCTCTGTCTCTCGTGTGTGAGCATGTGCTCTCTGGCATTAAAAAACAGAACTGTGATTTAAGACATCACTGTTCTCTTTATACGTCTTTTTTTTAATCATCTATGAATTAATTTAAGCATTTTTCATCTACTGCTACGTGAAAGTTTGGCAAAATTTAGTGATATTTGATTTATACACTTATTTTAAACCCCTTATTTAAAGAAAAATGACTAATCATTTCAAAGTTTAGGATATTGCTTTAGTTTGAATGTGTCCCACAAAAATTCATATGTTGAAAGCTGGTTGGAATAGGATGGAAGAGCATGGAAACCTAATCTGACTTTGGTTTTGAAAGGTGGGGTCCTAGGACCAGCAGTTAGCGTAATGGCTATGTTGCTGGACTCCCACAAAGTTGACCGCGGTTCGAGTCCCGGACCCAGTGGCTTAAACTCACGCCGGGCTTGTGTGCGTGTGTGCCCAAGATCCCGAGAGGAGAATGGAGGAGGAGAAGGGATTGCAGCACGGCCATCCCCTCTGGGGGGTGATTTCTCACTTTCTCTCTGTCTCTCTCTGTCTGGCAAGCGCACACGCCCTATAGCAAAAACCTCTCCTAAAAAAAAAGGGTGGGATCTTTTGGGGACCAGCAGTTAGCGTAATGGCTATGTCGCTGGACTCCCATGTGGTCGACTGTGGTTTGAGTCCCGGACCTGGTGGCTTAAATTCATACCGGGCGCATGTGCGTGCGTGCCCAAGATCCCAAGAGGAGAATGGAGGAGAAGGGATTGCGGCATGGCCATCCCCCCGGGGAGTGATTTCTCACTTTCTGTCTCTCTGTCTC